GAAACCGCTGGATTTACCCACACCAGCACTCACGCTCGCCATGATAGACCATGGAAAGCGAAGAGATGGGAAACGGGTATTTAAGATGAAAATTTTTAATCGCGATGTTAAATTGATGATATGGGCAGCGCGGAAGCCTGCGCAGCTTTCTGGCAAAAATGATATGAATCACCTTTATTACTACTCGCTTAATTCCTCATACAGTATGTATGTTACTTGTAGACACAGCTTTGCTCTTTAGCTTTATTACCTTTCAACCCTTGAGTTCTTGCTTGCCATATTTGGCGTGTCATAACATTGACTAATACAGTTCTACGTTCATAATACATCTAAAGGACTGGGATATGTGCACTCCAATTCCAAGTCCGAGCGAAACGCCGAGTCTCACGGCAAGCGAGCCGCCGAGTTTGAGGTTCCATCAAGAATGCACCCCTCGCACTCTTTGGTCACAATCCGGGCAGCTAAGCACCTCAATCCTCCCCTACTGTATTCTGATAGTTTACTTGTCATGTATCATTGATCGTTACATTATCTGGAGTATAGAGGAATTCATGTATTTAAGGAGGAGTAAGAACATTAATAGAATTACAAGTTTACACCTAGTCCCAAGCTCTACACACATATAGATTGTCGTAGTCGGAGCCAGGAGACATCCGTGAATTTCACAGTCAAAATTTATTATTTTATTCTTACTAACGTGCAAAAGAAACCTCAACAGAGCTTAAGCCACAGCATAAACTATTGTGGCGCTATCTGGGCACAAGAAAATTCCCAATAACCTCCATGTGCCCACTCCGTACAGCAGCTCATATTTCCACTAGGTAGCCTGAAGTGCTACTATATTACCCATTTCATCCTCTTAGCTACATACAAGATTGTGCCGGGAACCTGGATGGAATGGAGGGCCCGTACGTGGACAACGCTCTGTGTTTCCATTTCCAAGACCAATCCCTTGCGATTCAAAAGTTTAGTAGATTTCTAATAATTATCAAAGACTTCTTGCGGGCGTCATAACATCCTGGTGCCAGAATCAAGTAAAGCTTTGTAAGGCATGTTATGTAATTCAACAATGGCGAAGCCCTTGATTTCCCTATCATTAGATTCAAACTTAGATAACGCAGCAATGATTCATTATTCTCTACCACATCTATCTTTCTTTTCCAACAACACCGATTCGAACCAAAGACTAACAAATTCTACAATTAAGTTATATCGTATCCTCATCTCTACGACCATACCGCTTGTCGAATCGATCTATGGCCTCATCTGGCCTCCAGATATACGTCCACGCCGATATTAACACTCGCTGGCACAAAAAAAGCGTGGCGCACAAATTTTGAATGCATTACTCTAGGATAGAAGTAAGAGAAATCAGGACAAATTTACAAGACGATGAAAGTAATGGATTCAATCTCGACGTGTGCGATGTTTCGAATTTTGGCTAGGAGGTTTTCTAACCGAAGAGTATTTTGTGCACCGAGTCTCTGGTCGCAAAGATGTAGCTAATACTGTAAACTTAAGCTGACGACGGAAGGTGCCATGATCCGCCTCCTAATGATGATTTCCGGTATAGTTCGAGTAACCTGAAAACCTCCTCTGCTAAGGAGAAGCCTGAGATCGCTTTTCGCGCCGAGACTAGTCAAAAAATGGAGGCACATCTCGGTAACTCAGTATTTCTTAGATTATCTCTGGTCGAGTATTGACCAACGAGAGCTGACGGGAGGTCGATAAAAAACCGCGTTCATGTGGCAATGGTACTTTCGAATGGAATTTGAGGTATGGTTGCTCTACTCTTAAATTAAGTCATCGTCTCTGTACTTTTTTTTCTGATATTGTATCGTAGCTAGATAGCCGCATACGTAATAAAAATCCGATAAGAAATATGAATGTACTTAAATGCTACAAAAAGCTGAAAAAAGAGGTTTGAAGGCATTTTGCGGCACTAATTTTTGCAATTCATAGTATATCCAGCTTTCTAGCTATGACACGTTTCATATGTATAATTTCAGCACCAATTTTTTTGTACGCATATAATCCTTCAAAAACAAACAGTTCTTTATCTTTGGCTAACGAACGAGGTAACCAGCAAGCTGTAGGACGAGAGAATAAAGCCTTGTGATAAAATTTAACCGCGTAGGATTGTTCCATTCATACGCTACCGTTATTTATCATTTTTTGCTAATAATATATACACCTGATGTTTAGATGATGTCGGCTTTTACCTGTGGATGGCTTCATGCTAGCAGCTTTGTAATTTGCTGCCGCATTGACGAACAAGATGGTGATTCTAATGATTTGTATAAAAATCTTTTTCTAAGAGATAAAATTCTGAGTACGTAAAATGATCACGGTGACCTTAGTTTTGAACCAGCTTGGTGACTTTAACTTATGTGCCATGGGTCTACTCTAAGCGTGAGCTGCTTGACTCTAGACATGCCGGCTTTCCACAAAATTGTGTCGCCTGACTAAGACATTCATCATTAGCTTACTATCAAAGTCTTACAAATAAGCACGCAAGTGCTATTCTCCGTCATTACTGGCGAATTGAAGCCGGTAAAGACGAATACTTGGCCTTCTAGCGGTGTCGATGCAATCGCTCAGTATGTTCTGTATATCTGGGATAGCCAAGAGGAATCGCATCCATATCGAAGTCGAATGCAACATCAAGTATATCTAAAATCGATGACTTCTCGTCAATGTAAGACGAATCGTTCTCATTCGAATACTCTACCTCAATTTTGTCATACCACCTCACCGCAACTACCGATAGATCTTGGCTCACCGTTTAGCCGCTGGTGTAGATAAAATAGGTTTTTCTGTGAGATGATAGATAAGTCTGGCGGCCTTTGGCTGCGCTGTCGCGCCAAGCGCCCTCCTGAAGCCCAAGAGGACGGGCCCTACCTGTGAGCCTACTTGGCGTTCATTGAAAACTCACTTACTCATTCAACCTCCGAGAAAGGCCTTGCTCAAATCACAATCGAGAATTTGCCTCATCAAAAACCGGTCATATCCCGCTACAAATTTACGATGCTATGCATACCTGCAAGAGGAAATTAAGTCATAATCTACAAAGCGCGGGTCTTGGTCTATGGGGGACCGCTGCTCTAATGAGGCATCACATCTCGAGAGAGGATAGGCAACCGGGGCGTGGGACAAGCGAGTGAGGAGGTTACATAAGGGCATGCCGGGACTCATATTTCTCGAGTATTTTCGACTTAAAGGTGTCTATGGGCGCAGAGGCAACGATTTCGGATAGTGCTACCGACACTCTAAGAACAGGCAGCAATGGAAGGTGTTCTGGTCCGCCTCCTGGTCGTCGTCTCTCCGAATTAAAGTCTAGGTAGCCTGGATACCTACTTCACTCGAGAAAGGGTGAACTGTGGGTCTATATCTCGCGCGTTGGCTATATTTAAGATGGGAAATGCATGTTAGGGTAGTCAGAGGTTTTCCCTGTTTTCTCTTTGGTGGATATTAACGATAGAGGGAAGGGTGAAAGTCCATAGCACAATAGTCTCGAGTGGTATCAGAGAAAGCATCCACTGCATGAGTGGTCAAAATGTCAAACTAAGTTATCGTCGTAGATAGTTGTCTGGGAAGAATGAACCCTCTCTTTATCATGGTCTAATGGTACTCGGCTTGTGCCCGTCGCGAATAAATATCCATTCATTTGCTAAAGAATTGAACCTCTTCGCCCAATAAATGGTGTTAGATGATGACACAACCTGTTGATTTCTTTTATCTCCATCTTACGAACCATGAATCCATAATATTTGGTATACATCAAAGCACAATCTTGTCGCCTCACTATTGTTGATAAAAACCGTCACAAATATTACGCGATAAACGAAAGTGTGGTAATGCTCTTTGTGTGTATGAATTTGCAAGGCATTTCTGCGGGGGCTCAGACCTAGCCTATTGCGCAAGCCCCCGAATGCGTCGGCATGCCTGACAGCAAGTCCGGGCTCAGCAGATGTTCACGTGATATAGATTTGCGAAGCGGGGCGACGTTGAAAAAAGAAAGAAAGCCGTAGACGGGGTTCAAGCGGAAGAACGAGGTGCCCACAGACGCTGCACTACACACAATATAATTAAAATCACAGGGCAATTATAATGATTGAAATTCCAAATTCAATTGGATAGTTCTACAGCCGCGGTTTACACTCTTACAGCATTTGAAACTACTTGTCTCCTCTAGGCCATACCTGCAATACAAGATTTAAGTGCATATCGAACTATGCTCTAGGCGCAGACATGTGCAAGATCCCGATCATTTCAGGGTAGTGACACGCCAAATCTAGACATCCCTGATATCAAATTATCGATAGACTCCGTCAAACGTCTCACAAACATGACAAAAAAATCAGAACATATCCAGGAGGAAATAGGTAACCCTTCTTTTTCACACACTCATATCTTTCTTTTGCCTCATCAGCCTTGAATTTCCTCAAGATAAGCTACCTTGCGTAGTAATAACCTGATTGCACATGGCAATCTTGTTCCATCATCTTAGTCAGCATCCATTATCCGGAAAGTCAAATTGTTGGATGAAGTTATCTCAATCATCAGGTTATCCGCTTGGATGCAATCGAGGCTTGTATAGTTTAGTGCTCTTAAAGTGAGCTTGGCATAAAATCCCCGCCCTCTAGCTCGATACATATCATCTAGGCATATTTATTTTCTCCGTCCAGGCATTGTTTTAAATCTTAATAGTCGTCCTGAAGCATAATTTATGCCAAATTTATCGTCAATAGTACGCTTGCGTATGTTCGTTGGACTATGATATCCTATCCATATTTTTCCGCTCCGTTCCACTAGATTCATTTTCTTGGATTATCATCAAGATTAGCCCAGTCAAGGTTGATTTACCAAGGTTGCACTTTCCTCATCTGTCTTAACCCTACATCTTTGCTTTGGCGAAAGGAATATTTGCAATCGCTCCTCGACAACGTCGGACCATATCCTTCCGGATATCACATTCGAAAGCTCGATAGTCATTCAAAATGCATCTCCTGAACTCCGAAGTCGACGAGTCACTCAAAGGCGTCTATCGGATTGAATTCATCCACGAAGGTGTGCAGCCTCCAGTCTACATTGCTGGCACCTTTGCCAATCCACCATGGCAGCCGCTTGAGATGGACGTAGTAAAACAAGAACTCTCTGGCGAGTACAAGTTTAGTATAACACTAAATATCCCCAAAGGCCTAGATCACCAGTACAAATTTCGGGTTGGCGAGGGAAATTTGTGGTTACTGAATGAAGATGAACCCATTGGTAAAAGAAACTCCATCTCTAGCACTAATTTCTGCTTTGAAGCTTATTTCACCTTTAGTTATTGACGATGCAGGGAATCGAAATAACCTGCTCCACACTGAATCAAATGAACAGACTTGGCATGAAATCAGTGTGACGGATGGCAGAAAGGGTGTATGGGAAGAGAGAAAGTTAACCAAGTACACAGTTGAAGAGCGTGAAAAAGACAGAAAGGGATGTGATGAGGAAAATAATTCCCAAGATTATCAATCACGATTAGAGCAGGTCAACCAAGGTGAAGAATTAACCACGCCTATTTCATCCGGCCTAGAACATAATACTCAAGAACTGATACCGATGATAAAACCAAATGATATTAGTGAGCAAATAAATATTACGAATTCTGATGGATTTAATTTAGATTCTGTTGCAGGCTCCAATAATCTACCTGTAGCTGACGAAGTATTTCCCGAAGGGTCTTCCATCAAAAGCCCACTGCCTACACAGCTTAAAAAAGAGGAGATTGATGCCGAATCTTACAACAGTAAAGTATCTGAACTTGACACTAATCAGAAGCTAAACCTCTTCAAAAACGAAAGCAAACTTGAGCGTGAAGAATCTACAGACATAGACTTTGCTAACTCTGCTGCTGAAGTTGCAGATTCAGCAGCATTGCTACTTGATCAGGATATATCAATGCCTCTTGTTTCCAACCAGGAAGCTGGCCAGATAGGTTATAGACGCCTGTCAAGCACGCCCATATCCGAGGTAGCAAACACAGCTGCTGAAGTGGCTGACACCGCTGCTATACTTCAAAGTGAAGAAGAAGTTAGTATTCATATAATTTTTTGACCAAAACTGATTTATCATCAGGTATCAATAGCCCCATTTGAAGGAAACTTTGAAAGCCCAGAAGGAATTCGCTTTATCTCGGGTCAATCTACACCGATCGAGGAACGAGTGCCTCAATTTTCACATGAGTGTGCAAATTTTCCAGATTCTACAGAAATTTCCTCATATCCGCCACCAAGTATTGAGCACGGGTCTAGAAAACCGTCATACAATTTCTCCGAAGAAATTGACCTCAATGATCCCACAATTCAAATGTTTCCTACTGATCGAGCTTCAATCATAGCCAAAATCCAGGAAATTCAAGACCGTCTACCTGAAGATGAAACTCAAATAGAAGGAGTCTTGTTATCATCAGCGCATGACGAAAGTCGTCGACCTAGTATAATCACAAATCTAGCCCAAACCTCTCTAAAGGCATCGCCATCAAGTTATGATTGCGAGCATCCTAGACCACTACATTCTATTATTGAAGAAGGCAATGATAAAATTGATGTTTCTAATCCTGAAGACCCCACTGCCAACTTTGGAGACCAAACTAGCGCAAAAGAAGGTTTTAAGGGTATTGGACGCTTAGACAATAATAGCCAAGGATGCCATATTTTTAAAGTAAGCGAATTAGATTCAATGAAAGAGCAATCAGATCATCGGGGAGAAAATTACTATGCCCAAGAACCTACTAACCAGTCTCAACCTTCTACTGAACTCGATATAAAGAGCGGTGAATCTGGTAATGTTTCTCCAACTGGCTCTCCAACACACAGCATAAATATCGAACCAGAGAAAGAACAACAAGTTGTTTCAAACTCAAACCCTTCTGATTTTAACCCCTCCATAACTCTAGCTACTTCATCCGAACAAATACCCCCTGTAGATGGAGAAGAAACTAAGTCATACCATACTAACAAAAAAGATGATATAGTTGCTGCCTGTCCAGAAATTGCCCATGATTCGGGACCACGAGAAGTTTTGTCAAGCACAAATTTATTATCTCCCTGTGAAGATAACCAGGCCATGTCCACAGGAGTTTCGGGTGAAAACTCAAGTCGGCTCAACCTCCGCAAGCCTCCAAGCCGTCGAGATTTAAAAGCTTCCGATCGACCTATCACCCCGAATTCTATTGGCTCGTCTAAAAAAGATGTTAAAAGCAGGAATTTCCTTAAGGCATTTTGGCGCGTGATTATAGTTGAGTGGATCGGCGGTATGATTATGAAACTTTGCGGTGTTGGACGTCGCACGTAAGACTTGTCCATCCACACCTTGCTGCGTCATTTTTAAAACAGAACTAATATCAAATTTTATTTTTAATGATGTTGAGATGTCAGTATTTGTTAACAGCTCAATAGCGCTGACGACTGAGAAAAAGTAGTTTTATCACAGTGGGCGCCTTTTCTCTTCTCGCCATAGCTCTAGCTATTTACCTAATCGATGATTGCTCACTCGACGATGAATGCTTCAATGAAGAGCCTTTCAAACAATAATTCACCAGAATGGAGGATAAACATTTTAGTCAGTGGAACTAATGCTGGATTATAACGGGTCATTGTACAATCCATCATATGAAGCTCGAATTCTCGGAAACGCAAAGCTAGAGCTTATCTAGATCCGGTTAGAAATCCTTTCAGGGTAGCCTAATGTAATAGAGATTTTCCCACGTTGCACATAGATTTTTGTGCAAGCCTTGTCCGAATCATTTTCTGCCCAAAAACAGGCTGTATTCAACATGTGAGAATGGACTGGAATACCGGTGACCACTCACTTATGTAATATAATGGGGATGGTCTCTCTAGGGTAACAAATGTTGGTGGTGTTTGGTAATAAATTTGGTTACTAAGTATTACTTCAATAATGACCTAATCATCCTGCGAAAGCTTGTCACAGTTATTTTCAAAAAACAATTATATGTTTAATGTCTCGTAATTGGCTGCTCTAATGAGCTGCTGTTTTTTGCAAAGTCTATTATATCACCTACCGACAGTCCCAGTAAATATATTCAATTATTGAAGAAAAAATTTGTATCCTAGTAGATAGAATGTGGAACCTCTATTATCGGATTCCACGGCACACTCAGACACGAGCCGTGCACTGTCTGGACGAGGGGGACTATTCTCAACACCTGTTAGTGGTGTCCACTACGAACCTCCAGCTCTCACTTTAGAGTCTGTAGAGTCTGCAGAGCCGAGATTGAGTAACAAAGTCCTCACTTCGATGAGGATTACCAAACGCTTTCGCGGTCTGTATCGTCTTCATCTCTCAACACATTCCCCTATCACCATTATCATGAAGCCAACCACGATCAGATCAGATGGTAGGGTCGGAGCCCTACTCATCACCAAACCTTGATCACGGAGGAGAAGCCATCCGATGAGTTTCCGGAGCATACCCAGCACCCGATACGGAGATGGCGGATTGGATCAAGTCGACCTCAACTGTTACAAAGAAGGGAGATATAGATGAATATGCGCACCTCATGTGGTCCCGGTGTCTAGGCCTCGCCTGGCTGGGGCTGCAGGTTTTTTGAGACTTTTTCCCGCGCATGCATTTTCCATTGCTACCATAACTTTTTTTGGGTAGAAGGTTCCGTGGAAAAGGTGGCCGAACTCCACGGATAAATACTGAAATGAATGGCTACTCATCAAGGGGAATATATTAATCATCTTTCAAGTAACAAACGAGGATAGGAGCACTGTACAAGGTGTGGCCTGGGTCAGAGAGGAGCCTAATGTGCTAGATAGTCACAGACTCAAGTAGTACAATAAACACAATGACACACTGTCTGGACGATAGACGCGTCATTCAGTATTTACCGAGTAATTTAAGCGACGAGTCGTAATGACGATCTGTCTAGTGAAGGAGTAGTCATACTTTGATGACTGTTGTGATTGGCAAGGATACTTGTAGTATATAACGTGATTAAATGTCTGGGCTGTTCGAGTATTCCTTGTAATATTTGTTAAATCTCTTCAGGGATGAGGCTTTGGTCGCAACAAGTGCCCGGTAAACATAAAAATAAATAAATATTTGTCATATCTGCAGAATGGATTTTAAGTGTGCAAAAGCCAAAACATCATCATTTTGAAAAATCTGCCCCATCGATTTTAATCTCGTGAAGTTGCAGTCACATACTAACAGTGATGGAGAGTAATCCTATCAAGGATTCTCATAAAAAGTCCCATACAGCCCCGATACCGGAAATAACGCGTCAAACAGCGCCCAAGATGCTGATACAGCCTTACAGAGGTTCAAGGACGCAGTTGAAGGGGATGAGCTCTCAACCAGAGCATACAAGAAGATAATTAATGCGGCAATACGCGTTATTGAAGAACTTCGCGACGCGAACACTCACCCAGCCCCAAAGGCTAGCAATGAAAATACAGAGATAGTTAAGATCTTACAGGAAATAAAGTCTATTAATGCGTCAATCGCGCAGCTCCAAGGCCCGACCCAAGGACGAAAACAATCGAGGGCAAAGATAGCAAGCAAGCCTGAAGTTGCAGGTACTACAATAAGAATATTGGATGAGAATGAGAAGAGAGAAGTCGCAAAGCTCTCCAGCAAGGAGCTAGAAAAAAAATTGGCAGCAACGAAATTGTCAGAGCCTGGTAGATGTCAAACGGACAAGTAAAGGTATACTACGCGGGCCAAGAAGCCAAAGAAATGATAGAGAGGAGAAAAGAATGGACGACAAATCTGGCATCTATAGCACAAATAGCCCATCCCACGTATCAAACATTAGTACACAATATGCCTCGGTCATTCGACCCGGGAAACTCAGAACATCTCAGGGAGTTGGAAAAATCAAATGCAGTTTACATGAAAGGCATACGGATACAGAGTGTAAAGGATTTAAAGAATTCAGAAGTACTTGAAAGACGTTAACTCAATAGGAATTGATAATTTTTCCTTAGGAAGCTAATCTGCCTACGACGGCTCCTGTCCTTTATGTCCCCCTCAGCGTCGCGTTTAAGCTCCCCTCCTAGCCTACCTGAGAATACTCCATTCTCCCCGGCTACCCTCTTTCCTGTGACATCCTCCCCCCCTTAGTACGTACTCCCTTGGGTCCTTCCTCATGCGCAACTTTGCAATTATCCTTATGCAACACTGAGACTTGTTCTTGTGCGCAACCTTGCATTAATCCTTATGCGGCACTTAGATCCCTCTTTGTGCGTATCCTTGCATTCTTCCCCATGCAACCTTTCGCGTCTCTGTAAGCGCTGCTTCGTTGGCGCTTAAAGATCTAGCCGGGTTGGTCCTGGTGACCAGTCCCAATCCGGGCACAGCCCATAACACAGAGGGCTACATGGCTGAAAAAATACTCGCAGCCAGAGAAAGCTGCAGGCTCTCTAATCGTCTGGTTTGAACAGGCAGAAATAGCAGATAAAGCAATTGCGAAAGGGATAATTTGGAGCTATAAACTGAAAGCAACAGAGATCTTTCGTTCAGGATTCCGCGCCATGCAGCGCTTTAATTGTCAGAGGTGCGGCCATATTGCAAAGGTCTGCATCGCCGCCTCCAAATGTGGTCAGTGTGCCGGCGCCCACAACACTAGAGAATGCTCTAGTAAACCAGAGATAAGATGTGACAACTGCGCAAGGTACCACCACTCATGGGACTCTAGCTGTTCAGTTAGAATCTCAGCCAAAGCTAAAGCGGTCCTCAACAGGACACAAGACCCAGGGTGTTTCATGGCACATGGGAAATAACCAGAAAGTCAAGATATAGGCTGGTAGTTTGTAGGAAGCAGGAAAAGAAGAGCAGCAGGAGTAGGCTTACAAGTCATCGGAGCCGATAGGGAAGTCATCGAACGCCTAGGTCCAGAAAGGCCGCGAAAGGTAGTCGCTCAACTAGACCTGACCGCAACAGTAGCAACAGCAGCAAACGCTTCAAGCCTCATGAGTATGTCGTCTTCGACAATTCAAGAGAATCCCCGGCCTGTGACACGGGAAAATGTAGTAGAGATTATCGAAGCACCGCAGTGCACAATGAGCCAATGAAGGGCCAAAATACGCTAAATATCATACAGTATAACGTCAACAGAAGCAAAAACATAGTACAACATCACTTCCTCCAAGCGTTAGATCCAACGAAGCACCATATGGTGGCATTACAAGAACCATGGCGTCACTCAACAGAAAATACCACAGTCAAACATCCAGCCTACTACCTGGTGTTTCCAAGAGGAAACAAATATAGAACATGCATATGCGTAAGCAGAACCTCGCAGTCAAGAAGTGGAAGATGGAAAAATCTCCAGACGGAGCGGATTGGGAGATCACAAGTATCAGCATCCAAACTAATGGAGGTAAAATATATATAAACAATATATACAACCCTCCCCCTCTCTCACACAGTAGCAAAAACTTAGGTACTCTCACATACCTTCCAGAAATTCTTTCGAAGAACGGTCAACATATCCTAGTAGGAGACTTCAACCTACACCATCCTAGATGGGGAGGTCAAACGGTACTCAGCCACCATAAAATTGCAGACGACTTAACCGAAATGCTAGGAAGTAAAGATATGGATCTAGTTGTTGGTACAACGGGGTTCACTTAGCTTAATGCCTTAAAAGTGCTAAAAAACAACTGGTATATTCTGTCTATTTCTTCTGTATCCCTCCTCAAGCATTAATATCTAATGTATGAAATAAAGCTTAGCGCCCTAATTATATCACGTGATGCGCTGACCAATACTTTTGGAAGCAAACGTTTAATACAAGCCCTTTATCCCTAAACCATTCACCTATAAACCGACACTAGTACTTCCTGAGGGGACAATAACATGGAGCAAAAGTGGAAGTCAGAGTACGCTCGATCTTGTCTTCTTATCCAAGGAGCTCGAAGATGCAATTATATGTTGTCAACCAGCCAGCGAGCTTGAAGCATCCTCAGACCACATTCCAATAACCACGCAGCTATCAATTCAATCACTTCTCAAGGAAGAACCGGTGCCCTATCGACAATGGAAGAAAGCAAACTGAGAAGAATTCAACAAAACACTTGAGACTGGACTAATAGAAATGAGAACTAACCACGAAATCCTAGATTCTCGCCCAACCCTAGACTGCAGAGTAACCTGCATCACTGATATTATCAAAAAAATAATCAGTGAAACAATACCACACGCCAAACCATCGAGGTTTGCTAAACCGCACCGGACCACCCAATGCTCTGAGGCGGTAAAAGAAACTCGAAAGGCAAGGCGAAAGTGTAAAAAGGTTGGATTGAATATCAAAAGCTGACTAGTAGGAAAAAGGCGCATATAAGAAGAGCTAAGACCATCGGCTGGAGGGCGGCGGTATCAGAAGCCTCTAGAGATCCGGAAAAGATCTGGAAACTTGTTAAGTGGCCAAGGAAAGATCCCTAAGACAAACAGAAGTTACCCTAAATATTAGACATCAAAGATACGGACGGAACTATCCAGACCGAAGCCCCAAAGATAGCACGAGTAATGGCTAAGCTTTTTTTCCCAAAACCTAAGG